ACAATAACCGGTTCGTAACCGCCGGTCCATAACCGGTTACCACCGGTCCCGGTCGGTTACGGTCTTGAGCTGGGCTCAGTTTCGGGCCTCCGTCAGTTACGGGCTGGGCCGGTTACATTTGGCCATCTCTAGTTGTGATCAATGAAATCTTTTTTCCCTCATCTAATATCGTGAACATGTTTCATTGGACACTATGAAACTGTTAATGATAGGGACAATAGGCTATTTAGAAGTGTTAATGATGAAACTGAATGAAACTGTGACATTGAATAGAATGAAACTGAATGAAACCGTTAATGATAAAACATAATGAAACTATTAATAATGAAATAGAGTTACCTAGAAACTATAAAAGGGGGATATTTTAATAAATGATGAAACATAAAAAAAATTCTTTTAATCAACAATTATTGTACATTTTTCAAAAATGACAATTTATATCAGCATATTTAATGGATAAATCGATTAAATATTTACTAAAGATGCTAACTAATTAAGATATATTCCATATTTGTACTAACTTAAAGGATTACCAAACTTATATATTAATATTGAATACTTATCAAACATAACTATAGCAATCTTAAAAGACCATAATGCCATTACAAATTAAAAATAAAGAAAAACAAATGAATTTATGTGATTGGTTGTTATTAGTTTGTATTTGAACGCTCCTATATATATATATATATATATATATATATATAGGAGCGTTCAAATACTAACCCATTTTTTGTGTTAACTCTACTAACCAACATCAACCAATCACATTCTTTCTTTACTTTATGTTCAAATGTACCTTATAAATTGAATACAAGGGTCATTTTGTAATTTGACCTTTATGTAACTCCCTAATAATTATTTGGGAGTTACAAATCTTTTAAGACATGAGGTAATTCCGATGTTCACGGTGTTCATGGTGTTCATATCCATGTAATGTCCATGAACATTCACCGTGTTCATATAAATGTTCACCGTGTTCATGCGATATTTTTACAAAAGTACCCTCTGAACCGTTGTTCATAGGCATCTCAATTAAAATATTAATTAAATGATTATTTTTATAGTCTCATTTAATAAGGACCGTTTGATGAGAAAATGAACGATCAAGATCGGGTTAACATAGTTTGCACAATAGTTTTGGTTA